TGAAGAGAGTGATGAGGTCACCTCTAAGCCTTCTCTTCTCCAGACTAAACAACCCCAGCTCCCTCAGCCTCTCCTCATAGGACTTGTGCTCAAGTCCCTTCACCAGCCTCGTTGCTCTTCTCTGGACCCGCTCCAGCACCTCAATGTCCTTCCTGAACTGAGGGGCCCAGAGCTGAACACAATACTCAAGGTGTGGCCTCACCAACACAGAGTACAGGGGAAGGATCACTTCCCTGCTCCTGCTGGCCACACTGTTCTTGATGCAGGCCAGTTACTGCTTGGGGCAGATGACAATGCACAGATATGTAAAAGATCAAAAGAGTTATAGTCCAAAACCCAGTGTGATACAGAATACATCAGTGTAAGGAGATTGCCCCCAATTTCTCCTTCCACCCCATTTCCCGTAAACTCAAAACCTTATGCAAATCAAGACTTTAGGCTTGATATGCTCTATATCATCTGGAGATTTGATACTTTTTCTGTCTTTGTCACTTGTTTACTTAGTTACGTACACTTCCCAAACTGCTTCTCCCAGAGTTCTAATCTTGAAAAAATTGTCTACACCCAATAAACAAGTACTTTATTCGGCACATATGAAGCACAGCTATCAATGTTTTCTTGACATATGGACAGTGGAGAATAAGAGAGATGCAAGAGCTGTTCACACTTCACCAGCAGTCAGAATGACAGCTGTCACATACTTTGCACTGAGCCAGTACAAATAAAACATTATTACCAAACCCACCAGGATTTCATCCATCCCTTGAACGAGACCTTCAGGGGAAGGGATGAGATGACTAACAGTGTGGTTTTGTCTTGAAAACCTCCTACCACAGTGCAAGAGTCATGCTCTTGAAGGATATGACAGACAAATGAGATCTGTGGCCAAGACTTGTGTCTCAAGTGTTTTCTGTATTATAAGATGACTGTAACTACACTTGGCTTTCTATCTAACCTCAAGGACATTTGATTTGTAACATGAATGTCTTCCTTTTGGAAAATAAGAGGCCATTTTCCGAGCAGCTTCAGTAAATCTGTAACTCTGATTCAGGTTTGACAACATGGGTCTGATAAAAACTTTACTAAAAATATCCTAATAGAGCCAGAAGACTCACTACTTTGAAGAAAAAAACAAACAAACAAATAAAAAAACAAAACAAAAAAAACACAAACAAACAAAAAAAAGGCAAAAAGCCAAGCTGTTCCAGGGCATAAAAACTTAAGGCATCTAAATAGAGAGGTAACAGATCACTGGAAGACTTTGGAACAACTTAAGAATTTTTACTAGAAAACAGTTAAAAGAGATAGGAGAGTCCCCTACCACAGACTGTTACAGGCAGTCCAGACCTCCAGCTCAGGCTTCTCATAGCACATAACTCTGTTTCTGCATAACACAATGTTTCTAGTAGATTATGCAGAAAAGTCTAAAGATACAAATCACATTTCAGCCATCACCTCCCAAACCCCAGCTGCACAGTCCTTTCCTTATTTTGCACTAGCTCTGAAACTCTTGATTATGCAGCAAGCTGATTCAATTTGTTAATTGAGAAGAAAAAATTTCATTTTTTTGAAGTCAGTTTCCTACTGGTTTAACAGGCTAATTCATCTCTGTGCAGACTTGACAATAAAGCTAGATGCAAGCTAGGAATGTAAATCATTAGACTGGAAAGGAAGGAATACAAATTCCTCCTTCTCTGGCAATAACAGGAACCATGCTTAATTTTATCATTAGGATAAAATGCCCCTGAGAACCTCATTAGCAGCATCCAGATAATATTGTAGTCTTGGGCAGAGAAAGGGCCCAGAATGTGTATCTGAACAGACTTAACTTTGATTACTTTGCACAAAGCACTTCAAAGGGCTTCAAGAAAACAGGTTCCCAACTGCTGAAGACAAAAGTTGTAAGGTCTTATCATGGTAATTTTAAACACCAAAAGACAGGCCAGCATGAGGGAAAGAACTGTGGTCAGTGTTATAGGATTTCAGATCGTAACATCTTTCTTTGAGGCCATCATTACGGTTTTCAATTATTCACTGGATTCCTTTTCCAGAAGTGTCTCCTGTAAGCAGCTCCTTTACTAGTAGAAGTGGAAAATGTCACTTTAAAAGAGTATGTAAACATACTCCTACATATGTAAACTGAAGGGGGTTAAACACAATCTAACCTACTACCACTGACTCACACCTTGAGAGCTCCTATGGAGTATTATACTAAAGAGACTGTGGACACAGGCTTATAAATCTGATCTCTACACTGATATACACTGCACAATCAATTTGATTTTGCATTTACTTTTTTGTTTTATAAATACAAAATTAGTATCTGAATGAAACCTACACAGGTTTCTAAGGAAGCCACTTCATTAAAGCAGTTACTTTGGAACTCCAGTGTTACTGAAACGCTCTTCCTTTCTAATTTAGAAAAAACTTCACTTTAAGTAGCTCCTGAGAGAATGTGTTACAGTGAATCAACCGTTCAAGACCCCTCAAACACTGTTTCAAAAACTACATAAAATCTGGAGGAAAAAGAATATGGTAAGTGAAGATTTTCCTGCACTGCTATTATAAGTAAAATGAAATAAAAGTAGAGGTTAAGTATTTTCAAAATTCATATTTCTGAATGATATTTCAATACAGTGAAAGGAGGCTCATGATATTTCTACTTGCATTTATATAGTAAATATAAACATTTTATAACATTCGATAAAGGTATTTTAAAGCCTGATGGTTTGGAAAGTTAGTAGTAGTCCTAAAAGCAACAGGCCAACAAGTACCTGGTACATGAACTAAATCCAAAGTCTCTCTTCCCATGCTGCTGTGTGACTGCAGCTGAAGATGGAATATCACTAAGGCAGTTTAATCTCCCTTATCCAGTTCAACACCTAATTATTCAGGTACCACTGCGTATTAGAGCAAATCCAAAGTGGATTGGGTGATACAGATTACAAGTAACTGGTTTTAAAAGAGAGTTCATTCAATCTATTATTTAAAATTATCAGGATTTGTGAGCATGGAAACACAATATAATGCTCGATTTCTTTGCCAGATGAGGCAAAAACTACACTAGCTTCCCCCAAACCTACAAGTTATATAGTTGCACGATTGCAAACCTTTTAATAACAAAAGGATATGTTCTAAGAAACATGAGAACCACAGGTGGTTTTCTTTTTCCCCTTCTGTTTTTAAAACGTCACTCCTTTCAATAAATATTTACATATTAAAAAATCCTACCAAGAACAGGACTGCAAAGTCTTATTATCAATTATATTCCAACTTTTCTTGGCAGACACTTGTTTACCCTACTCTTTAAAATGTAATAACTGTCATGGAAACTTTATGGTCTCCTCAAACTGTACCTTTAAAACCTAAGATATGAACTATATTTTGTCAGACTTTCAAAGAAAGTAGTAAATAAAAATCAAACATCCAGAACAATCTTCATAACATGTGATATATGAATCTTAAAAACTTTTTTTTTTTCATAAAAATATGTGGTTTAGGTATAAAGTGCTTTGCTTTTTACAACACAGAAGACATCACCTGTTGAACAAAAAATTGTACAGAACTAAAAGTGATTATCAGTTTGAGGCAGAGGTTTAATTCAGTCCTGATATATGCTAACAAAGTAACAGAAACTCTCTTTCCACCAGTGCAAGCAAACAAGAACCCTGCATCTGAAACCTCCTATATAATACTTGAATATTTCCTTCAGCTGTTACAAGAGACACCCTCCTACTCCAGAGGAAATACCTCGCTGTTATCCCAATTCCTCCCCTGATACACATTGCAGCATTTTAGAATGACTGACAGCTTTGCCTCAAGAGTGGCTCAATGTAAGGAACAGTGCTTCTGCACTCCACCATGAAAAGGTCCACACGTATTTCCAGTCAAGGGTAGTAATCTATTTTAAAACAAGAATTTATTGTGTTATAGTATAAAGACACTAAACACAAAACAAAGTGTTTAACAACATGAATATTGACACAAAATAAAAGCAAGATAGTTTCAAGCCAACTCCGTAACCATTTCATGTCAGGAATTCCAAGTGAAAGGAAGTTACATACACGGGGTCACCCTAGGAAAGGATGGCACCTTCAACTAATTCAAGCCCTATTTCAGGACACCATAGCATTGTCAGAATAGTTGCATTATTTTGAGGGCTTGAGTGGTATATAGGCTTTGCCTTGGCCCTCTATATATACGCAAACTTACCCACAGATCTACAAGAGAACCAATGGAGGCATTTCTACTGTAAACTAAAAGACCTGAGGTACATTCTCTTCTAATCTACCTTGCACTTTTTTGATCTAAGTATATTATAGGGGGCGGGTAGTTTATTAAAGAGCAGCATAAATTTGGTTATTTAACTTCACTATAGTCCATGTGATAGCACAGGTCAATAAAACGTATAATGCTTTGCACTACAACACCCATCTTTGACAAAATACAATACAGTATGTCATAAAGCTTCTATGAAACCATGTATTGTAGTTTCACAAGCTACTATATAAAAAGATAACTGAATCTGAGATTTACTTGAGCCATTTCTTCAGACATTACCTGGTGTCACATTAAGGTCTCTTTCCTGTAGACTGCTTTGATAGGATTCATTATATGAACCATTCATACAGTAATTTCTCAAAGATGCATCAATTGTTTCAATTAATACAGAGCAGTTAACATGAATATACAGACGAAGTATCAGATTACTGCTCCTCCACATGAAATGTTTCCAAAAGTAACCAGTTTGATGAACTCACAATAATATTTTGCTAAACAAAAAGTTGGAGCATAAGTATTTGATTTGTTTAAAACTACTTTTTTTTGGCTCCTAAAATGAACTGAATTCTATGTTTCAAAGGCTCATTGTGAAAATATATACACACATCAAATTCATATCCAAAGCTAGATTTTACCATTGAGTTTTAAAGGCCAAGAGATATTTTCAGTACAGTAGAAAAAAAAATAGCAGTTCCTGAAGTTTATTGTAGCCTCACTTCACTGCCAGTATCTATAATCCTATTGCTGTACAAAACACTCCTCTGAAGCAAATCCATCTGAACTCTATCCACCCTGAGTTTAGCATCTATACTTTTTTTAAAAATGTTTTAAACAATAGGTAACAGAGAAGTATGTACAAGGCTATAAAACATGTCAGTTATCATACAGCAGATTAAAAAAAAAATCAGTCTTTTCAGCCAATTTTCTATTACTGTAGTAATTCATTCTGGATTGGGTTTAGGGATTTTTTTTTTGCTTTTGTTTGTTTGTTTTTACATCAAGTAGCTACTTGATTTAGACATTCATGCATTAATTGCTTGAATTTCTTTTTGAGTGCAACAATAAGGCAACAGTAAAAAAAATTATAGAAATTTTGCATATGTGTAAAGGTATTAAGTTTATAAAAGTGCTTCCTAAAAAGACAACCTAATTGCAGTATCAAAATATTACAGAGTGCTGAGAACAACTATCATTTCAATAAATGTTGCTCCACAGAAAAATGTCTGATTTTAGGCTTTTTCCCCTTTTTTGGTGAAGTAAAAGCCTGGAAAAATTGCCATGGCTGCATGGGACAAGCAAGTTAAGAAAATATACTTTAGTCTAAACTTAAATAAGAAGGTCCACACTTTTTTGTGAAAACTTTAAGCCTCTGTCAAAAATGTATTTTTTTTTTCTTTTTATAGTACAGGATTAAAAGACAAGATGATGCTTACAAGATAAAGAAATAATTTACATGAAAATATCTTCTGACAAAGCTTTTCAATCAAAATATTGTTTTGTAACATTCAAACATGACATACAACACAAAAGAAACAGTGAATGCAAACAAAAAATGTTATATGGATTGCTTTCGAACACATAAATAAATGAAATATTGGTGTAGGCAGTAGGGCTCATGCTGATGGCTAGCAGGAAATAACAGTGTGCAATCTATTTGGAAAAAGCTCTAAAGTACAAATTACAAGCCCAATTACGGACTGCAGCAAGTTCAGTTATATCACTGCCATCCTCTATCTCCAAAATAAATTCTTGTTTAAATCACTCATACCCTAAATTACTCATACCTTTGCTTCAGAGATATGAATAACTATATACAAAAAGTAGTTTTATTTCACCATAGGGATAACATTGTACCTCTCTGCCAATGTCACTTGAAAAGCCGCCCATGTCAAAACAATTTGACAGCAGATAAACAATTCAATAAATATGTAACGATCTTATTACAGTCCTTCAGCTAGGCATGTTAACTCATGCTGCTAGTTTTGTGGTCACAGTGCATAGAATCCAAATATAAAAGAATGGGCTGGATTTAAGGTAATTGTCAATCCCTTGCTTATAATCCAAATATATCCAAAACTTTCATAAGCTCTGTCATGCATCAATCTTTTTTGTGGCAGGAGCAAAACCTTTCCCTGGTACAATGTCCATTGCCGGCAATGGATGCACCAAAACCGCCAAGGAGCTCAGTGTTATTGCACAATATATGAAGACCTGGAATTCTTCCAAAAGCTTAAAATAAAAATAATGGAATTATTCTGACATTTCTGGACACCTGCATTAATACTGTATGACTAATAAAAGCATGTCAGTTGCATGGACTGAACCAGCGATCAACATGCGCCCAGAATGCACACTAGTAAAAATGCAGTCAAAGGAAGTAGTCTTCATTGCCTATAGGTCACTTCCAGTCAAAGGTTAAAGTTCAAAGACTGAATGATCAAAGTGCTCATTTTCTCAGTAGGACTATCTTCTGCTACGAGGATCACAAAATGGTGGCATCAACATGTGTCATCTTTAAAATAAAAGAAGAGCATTTATGGAAAACATATAAACATTCTAATTCTAAATTAACAAGGTGCTACAGGCAGAAACAATTCCTAGCATAGGCAGTAACATGCAGAGGAAATACACTGATTGAATAGTTCTATTGTTTTGTTCAATACTGATGCAGGGGAAAAAAGAGATTATCAAAAATTAAACTTCCAAAATACACATACATCACCAAAGATACTAGCATTAGCAAATATTCCATTAAAAGGACAGTCATCTCTATGCTCAATATTTAGAAAGCCACTTGCCCAGAAAACGAAAAATCAAATATTCTCAAAATTTCGCATCCTTGAAGTACAGCAGGTCCACACCAGTTATCAAAATGAGACATCCTTTTATAAGGAATATATATAGGGATATATATAGGAGTATATAGGGATAAGAGAGGGCAGAGTGGGCTGCTTATAATGCATTCTCAACCCTTTAAACATAAATATATATTTATACATATGCATATTGATTTATTTCTCAAGATTCAACACAAAACTACAGTTCTCAGAATTATGCAAAAATAGTAGGTTGCTACTATAATCCTAAAATCTTAAACCTAAAAATAACTTACATATGCTACATTTTAGATACAGTGATTGGACAGAACATATTTCAAAAATGTGTATTCTATGCCAATCTCTTCTGGATTATGCTCCATATTAAATATTTGTCTGTGAATGCTCTCCCGTTTAATTCTCCTTCATACATCAATCTGCAGTATATTTGCACCTGCTAACAGTAAGTACTGAGTTGCTAACAGAAAGCAAACTTACTGTCAGCTTATTTTTAAACCACTTGTAACCTTGCACACCTAGAAACTGTAGCCTTATTAACATTCTACATTCTCATGGGAAAACATTATGTTGTCAATATTATTACTTGCAAAAAACCTTTTCGATTTTATAGTAGGTTACTGTACATGTAAAAAAAAAGGGACAAGGATGCAAAAGAGAGAATGGGTATTTAAATGGTGCACTAAAATTTTTAGGACAAATATCAGAGAAAACACTTTTCACTTAAGAAAAAACCAAAACCAAACAAAGCCTCCAACCCTAAAGCACTAAGGAGGTGCTGGATGAAAATAAACACCATTGCCCTTTTTTTCCACCAAAAAAAAAAAAAAAAGTTTACCTCCTGACAACACCAAAGCCAGGCAACAGCTTTATGAAACTAATTTGAGTCTAGATGCCCAAGTAACCTATATCTGGAAATCCTTCTCTGTCTTTAACACAACATGAGCAACTCTCAGATTGAAATTCAACATAAAAGTCCACATATAGCTGAAATAGACAATGGGTAGGGCAAACAATCCAGAAATATTTTCAATTATCAAAGATCAGGAGCTTTAAACAGGGCTTCTGAGGATATCATTTTGCAGCAAACAGGGCTACTTTGTGCAATAAATTGCTGCACTGAGGCAGGGATGAAATGAGAGATTAAAAAAACTCTAACAAGTTAAATGCAGACACATATTTACATGTCAGAATATGTCTCAAAATGCCACTTTATCACTCTGTGTTCGTATAGGTTTGCTTTACATCAGCTCCCAGCCATGCACTATTTTGCTCCCAGGTAAATAAATTCTGGGCATCTACTGGAAAAAAATATTTTCCTTCAAATGCATGTATTAATACAGATGACAGACTTCTTCCTATCTCTTCAAAACACATGGATCCAATAACCAGTACAATGGCTAGCTAACACCAGAGGGGCAGAACCACTTTGCATCTTCCTCCCCATGTTCTTGTATCAGCACTAGCATTTAATTTCACCCAGTGGTTACCCTTGAACAGCTGGTTTTCTTTCTCAGGGGGGATTGTTTCTTCTCCCCTCATTTACCCATCCAAATGTGGTTCAACCACAAGATTAGATATGTGACATTTCAGCAGAAGTGTGAGCAGAACATAAAGATGACAGAAGCACCTTTTCACACTTCCCATTTTAGTGTAACCCAGCAGTTCTTCAAACCCGTTAAGAAAACATTGACAATTTAAAGATCATGCCTTGGTAGTCTTGTTCCACGTCTATACAGGAGAAAAAAATTCCTTCTAACTGAGAGAAGAAGCAAATGGCACACAAAACTCAAAGGGAAAACATTCTAGCATTTATGAAAGTTTTGTCTAGGGGATATCAGGTATGTTTAATTTTTTCATGTATGAATTTAAGGTGGGGAGGAGTCCAATGAACTTCTAATCATGAAGCAAGACAGTATGAGTTATTTAAATATACTGACTTGCTTTCTCTTGCTTCAGGTTGGTTTTTTGGTTGTTCCAAATTTGAGGAAGGGTAAGGTTTTCTAATCTTCTGAAAAAAGCCATTGCATAGTTACTTCACAGTAATTAAATTACTCATTCAGAGAACTATAAGCATCTTGATGGTTTTAAGCCACAATAATACAGCAACCTGCAGAATCAGAGAAACCACATTTCTTTTCATACTAATTTGTTGTTTTGTTTGTTTAATGAAAATTGAATTTCATTATTAAGAAATTTAAGTAATATCTGCAGACTGTTCTCCTTTTGTGGACTTCTATTCTAAATCAAAATGAGACTAGTACAAATTAAAAGTAGACAGAACATATTTTAATTACAAGATAAAGCCAATAAATGGAGCTTTACTTGTTTCTCTTTAAAAAGAAGTAGTAAAAAAGTCAACAAAAACTTTTCCAAAATTAAAAATGGTGAAGCACCAAACATGTTATAAGAGTGTGAAAACAGAGAGAGAAGAGAAAGTGACTGCTGAATAATCTGGTGAAGATGAAAACCCCATCCTTGTGGCTAATATGGTTATTATTCTTGGAGTCAATTTTAAAAACAACCACACAATAAACAGTCCCAAGTTTCTCAAATACATCTTAATCCCATGCCATACAATACTTCTCTTACTGTACCTGAAGTTACCTTGTTTTAGAGACACTATTTCAGTATTATGAGGAACAGAGTTTCATTCTGTTACACTACTATATATGAAAACCCCAAGGTCTTGGCAAGTATTACAAAAACTCTCAAGTTTTTTTTGTTAAGGCATCCATGGGCTTTTAAGAATCTTAAGAATTTTAAGGGTGAAGGCTTTGGCATTTGCCTCTCCAGTCATGAACTCTCACTGTCCCAAAAATTTGCTCTCATTTCACTTAGGGAACATGTCCCAGGGTGGGGAGGCAGTGAAAAACAGAGGATGTCTTACAATGGAGCCTTCAATGAAAGGTAGTGATGGAATCAGCTCTCCTGCACTATCTAGCATACAATACTACCTGCTCTAACACATCCCCTCCCAAAATACTGGGGCTTCCGATAACTACCATTTGTACAGAATTTTCCTAGAGAAAATAAAGAAAGAATTGCTTAGAAGAGAAACAAAGCCCAGCCCATCTCTACCCCCTCCTTCTCTCTTTCCTCACCAATGAAGTGGACAAGACAAGCACACACAGCCAACTGCAGCTCTGGGTAGAGGATGACAAAAACTGAGGCAGAAGAAAGAAATAACACAGTATAAAGCAAGACAGAGAACACATGCAGAAAAAAAGAAAAAAAAAAACCAAACCACAAAAAATAAATAAAAAAGCAAACTCCCAAATCAAAACCAAACAGAGAAAAAAAACCCAACCCAATGCTGGCACTGCAGACACTGTAGCAATTTTAGATACGGTTGGGGTTTTTTTCTTTATCGTGTACATGGAGAATCTTATTACTATATTATTTAGTTCTTAGGAGCCTTTAAAGTCAGTCAACTCTCCCATACTGGAAATTCTGATTAAGAGTGGAAATTAAATAAAAGACATAGCTGTTTACAAATATATAGGTATCTTTTCAAAACCATGAAAGCTCTTAAAGTGTTGATAACAACAACAAAAAACAGTTTAGAGCTAAACTTAGTTTCGGTATGTCCCTTTCCCAATCCCAAATTTGTCATAGACTAATATGGTCTACCAAAACTTTCATTCAAACTCAATTCTACAATTTAAAAAAATATTTGTTTACACTTCCACCAGGAATTATTAAAATGTGATATAAAAAAAAAAATCACAGCAGATTATCTCAGAAAACAAGATTTTAATAACTCTTTGAAACTAAAAAGAGTTTTAATGCTTTGAATGCATTTATCTTACTTTCCTACATTTTAATTGCTTTCAGCCTAAAAAGAACTTAAACATTCTTGGTCCTAGTTAAATACTTACCATGATACCACCATTTTGTTTTCTTTGGATTCTTGTTACACGTTCTTACATAAAATGAGTTATCTGGAGGTCGCCTCTGCAACAGAAGAAAAGACCTACAAATAATCAAACAATCCTCATATTGTAATACAAGAGCTATTTAATAAGCTTATGAAAGGTTACCACGTGAATGCAGTGAAAATGATGTAACAGGCAGGACTAGACTTTTGTCAAGAAAAATCTCTTAAAGATCCAGGTAGCAAATTCTTACTGTAGATACTTCAAGAAAAACAGTAATGAAAAATACCGAAGAGTTTGGCAATAGGGAGAGAAATATAAATAAAGGGGAAAAAAAAGGAGGGAAAAAAAAGGAAAACAACCCAAAAGAAAGAAACAGCTGTTGTTCAAAAAATCCTCAAACTAAATTCCTTTGCAGTTTGAAATCCAGTTCTGATGTATTAGATCCAATTCACATCCATAAGGCTCAGCTTGGAGTGGGTGAAAAAGCCAAAAACTTAAATATCTATATCTAATCCATACTTCATATTCTTCAGTTTTCTTCTTAAGTGTCATCATTATACCAAACAAGTCATAGGATAGAATACAATACCAAGCCATTTTGGAGTGTTTTTTCAACTACATGCACATGACTAGGACTGACTGGGATGCAACATAAATAGGTATGTTTAGATAGCACACATGGACAAGCTCTGACCACATCCAACTTCCACAGATAGCCCACTGCGAAAGAAATGGTCAAGAGCAAAAGGGCAGTCTCTTTACAAAAAGGTCTAAGGTATTGGTGTACCAAAAAAAAAGCAAAATAAAAATTATCAGGATCACTGAAATAGCACAGATGCAAAGCCTTAGAAGCATCTGCACTAAAGATAGTTCAATTAATTTTGCACAGCCTTTAGAGACAGGATAATTTTACATTTAAAATATGACTGAACTTCAGTTAGGAGGACTTGATGGTTTCCATTTGTTCCTCTTTTCCAATAGTGATATGTAAGCGGGTTACCATGAAAACAGTGACAAAGTACTTACTGCACTTTTTATCTTGAAGTTCTAGCTTAGTATTTTTTCAGTAGTAGAAATGTAGATATAGTAGTTTTGCCCAGTTTAGAATTTGAGACATGAAAATTTCACTTTGCAAAGTAGAAAACTATCAACTTTTATTTTTTCTACTCCAACAGTGCTAAAAAAGCCCATACCTTTTCTTTGCAGCTGGAAAGCATGCTAATAATGCTAAGACAAACAGATTGCACTGAGAGAGCTGGAGACCAGTCTTCCGTTAGAATGGATAAACAGATATGACCATTGCTATAAACATGAGGATGAACAGGAATATTGTCTCCAGTAAACATGACCTAAAAAAAAAGAACAAAGATACCTCAGACTTACAGTCCACATTTTAAATAAAACTGTGGTAATGGCCAGTCTTCGCGAACGAAGAACCGGGGAAGGTCTTTACCCCTTCCAGCCTGCGCATTGGATTTTTTAGGTGAGACACAGTGTGCGCGGAACTGAGCCCACCCTTTAATCCCAAGGTTCATCTGCCGGGGCCAAGCGAGCTTGGACGGTGGCAGCGAGGTCCTCAGGACATAGATGGATTGCCTTACAGGGCTAACGAGCTCCATCTGCCCAGGGAGTGTCCTAACCGGGAATCAAACCCGGGTCTCGGCGTTGACAGCACTGCGGCTTAACCACTGCACCACCAGGGGCACTCAAATAAAACTGTATTGTTTTTAGGAAAACAATATAATCTTATTTAAGAAGTAGGTCTGTCACGTTCACTTACACTAAATAACACACTTCACCACATTAGGTTTATTCATTTTTGGAAACTATTAAATGAAATGTAAAATAAACAATGGAAGCATAAATAGCTAGTGATGATGGAGTTAAATAAATGGTAAATATAGGGGATTTTCTATGAATACTTATACAGCATAGAAAAATTCACAAGGTAACTTTGTACAACCAGTGAACTAAATAAACCTTTTGTATCTTGCAGCTTCAGTCCTTCGTGTCAACACAGCTGCCTAGCCAAAATACTGGATTTTAACGATTTTAAAAGCCACAATGTTATACATCAAGAAGTACAATGAGATCCACAAATGAGTATTTCTATAATTCTGGACACAACAGAAATTAAGTTCTTGCCGACTCATTCCGGTTCCAGCATAAAGAGTAAAATTAAAATGCATTAATCTTATCAACTATAAAATAAAGGAAGCCAAAGTTTGTTACCAAACAGGAAATACTTCTAAATCTTTGCTTCAAATGGAATATGTTTTTATTTGACATGGATAAATATGCAACAACAGCATTTAAAATCTAAACTCCTTTCTATTAGAGGAAGTATCACAGTGAAAAAAGGTTAAAAAAGCAATTTTGACAACTATTGCTCTTACATTAAGATTTTGTCAAACATATTGCTAGTTCAGGAACAAGGGAAATAGAGTAAAAGTGAGATCTTCATAGCAGCATTATACTCCTGAAAATCTTTTCCAATGTAACCACTGTCATCTTTTAGGCAATGAAAAAATAAATCTCTACCACTCATAACTGTAATACTCAGCAGTCTTTTAAGTGTTTCTTGAGTTATATAGATATGTGTACAAGTATGCAAACATGTACACAACACACCCACCTCATCACTGGCAACAAGAAAGAAGTATCATATAAAAAAAGGAAATTAGAGAGCTTAATTTATCTGCTAAATATATGTTTCTAAGGCAGAAGAAAAACTGGATGCAGAATAACCTTTCATAGGTCTTTGAACTGCTATCACTTAAGCCTTGAAGAGTTTACCTTCATAATCCAGTAACGTATTTCACTTGTAATTAATATGTTCCTTTTACATGAAAATCAGAACTAGGCATACTAGGTAAGTAAAAGCATGCATGCTCTAATAGACACATACATTTAAAAGCAGAAAACAACCAAGTGATTAAGCAGCAGAAGTGTAAACTGTCAAGTTACAGTAAGTAGATTTGCCAGAGAGATAATTATGGCCCAGAGGTTTGTAGTACAGAATGACCTTACTGCACAGCAGTATTTTAAAAAAGGAAATTCTAGCCATCTACAACAATCAAATATCCAGTACTTAAATTTTTAATTTTTTTCTGTGCTAAAATTCAGTGTGGATATATGGATCTAATTTGATGCTTAACAATAAATTGCACAGAGCCACACACACAGCTTGGGTAATGAGTACAAACATGGAATCAAATTAAAGTGGCTACTCTGTTGTGGATCACCTATGAGTACTTCACTGCAAACCTCATGAGGTGCAGAAGTACAGGTGGCCAGTTTGTTCTTTAAAACCTAAGACTGAAAAATCAGCATCCTAGTTTTTATCATGGCACCTAAAAATATTTAATATTTATGGTTTAAGTGTCTCTCCATGCTTCAGTTTTACAACCAATAACAGAAGCTGCAGAGCTCACTCTTAGAACGTTGAGCTGAAACAGACAGGACAAGAACTAAGGCTCTCTTCCTTTTCTCCTTCCTTTTTTAGAAAACAAGGGATGACAGGTGAACACTACTCTTACCAGCCTTATTTTAAACATTTCCCTCAGGTGACAGAGGGATGGATGTGCACAGCACATTCTGCAGTCTCTAAGTACTGCTGTCCCTTCAGTTTAGGCTGTCATGAAAGCAACACAGCAACTCACACTTCAATTATAACACTATATGCAGGCCTCTCAAACATGTCACGTATCTATGACAATCCCTATCAAAACACCGTATTTCTTCAGCTATATTAATAATGGCAGCAGAGAAAATGAAATAGCCTTAAAAACAAACTAGAAAAAAATACGTTGAAAGCAAGAAGAGAAGGGACAAAGAAGCAGTTTGTTGTTTACTCGGCTCCTACATCACAATAAAGGGGATCTTCCTACTTTACCCTGTGTTTCTCTCTCACATGATATGAATATCAACCTCAAAGAAGCCGCCAGTTTACACTACTTTCATCTCCTATGAAACCAAGTCGACTGTCAAAGCATTGTACCTCATTGCAGAATCATTTTTAAAAGAAAAGGCACCTGTGCAATGCATTTAATACAAATTAAAGTTACTAAACCTCACATCAAGATATGTGGATGATATAACATTCAGCACATGTCATACAGATACAATCCAAAAGTAGTATTTAGTAAGGAAGAAGGCAGCGGTTACCTGAGGCGAATCAAAAGGATACCGACTACTAAACTTAAATAAAAGCTGAAATTTCTCCCCTTCATATAGTGTTCCTGGAGCACCTTCCATGTCTACAATCCACCTAAGGAACAGGGAAAAAAGCTGTTAGTACTGTGGACTGACACATAGTTTTACTCCTGGAGCATAGGACTAATCAAATCAACTATAAATCAGAGCCAAACATTCTAAATTCGTTATTAACATTGTAACAGTCACAAAGGTGAGCAATGCATCAAGCCTATATTTGAAAGAAACAAGCCTGGTATTTTACATACAGGCACTGAAATAGTGCTGTAAATTATAACTATGACCTGAACTCAACACAGAGCCATCAGCTGAAATAAAATAAAACTGTTTCAAAGCTTATTCCTCCACAAAAACAGGCTTGGAAGGAAACAAACTAGTACATGTTCCTTTTTTATGTTGTTTTCTTTCCTTTTCTGTCAAGGAAAACATCAATACAGTTTATTAAAACAAAATCTGTACCCAAGGGGAAAGGACGAAGTGCCTGTACTTGTGAAAAGCTCAGAAATTAAATAGCACCTGGCAGGTAATGAACCAAAACTGGGACAGTTAATAGTATAAAAAGGAAAAGGTCCAAGAAAATTAAAAGCAAAACAAAAAAAGAATGATTTGCAACTGTAATAGAGATAATACCTCAGCATAGCATAGCATTCTTTTTCCTCTGCTTCTGGTCCTTCCATCACAATAACATGACAGTAACTTACAGGTGGAGTTGCCAGGGGAAGAGAAGGTGGTGTTTGGTGTAGGGTTTTTATTGTGGTTGGGTTTGGGTTGTGTTGTGGGTTTTTTAATCCAGTTAAAAATAGATGCTTTGCATACTGCTCAACACATTCAGCAACATTCTGTTAACTTCTATCATTTTATGGAGTTCTATATACTGTTGATCACTTAATACCATCCTTTGCAGCATCATATTTTCATTTTTCACCCTTGAGTTTTACAGGTTTAAGCAACATGATAAGGTAAAAATTCAGCAAGAGACTACAAAAATGGTCAGATAAGGTTTACATCAACTCAAGGAGGGCAGCTGAGATTTTGCAGAACAGCAATGTGCTCAGAAAAGTCCACATCTCCAGCTGGCAGCCCTGATGATCCTATTCCCAACCTCTTCATCCTCCTGTCACATGTACACTCCCTGTGTATTTAAATCATGCACATTTTTCATCTTCCCCTTTATTATTCTTTGGGTTTCAGGGGATTTTTTTTGAGGACAACTGCTTATCTAATGAACTGCTAGCTGTCACACTCTTAAAGAGGAATGCAATAGCACAGTGATGGCTGTCATATATTCCCTGTTTTTATTTTGTGAAGACATCTTCAATTCAATCTATCTGCACTCCAAACCACTTACCTCTCCTTATGCCTTCTGCTTTTACACTTACACACACGGTGCACCAATACTCTTTCCATTTATTGGTGCTTGTGATCCAGAACACTTCCACTTTCAAGTTTTTAAAATAGTTTAATTTACTAAGTAGAAGATAACTCTGCCTGGACATTACTCCTTTTCTTTTATGAGGAATCACTAGAACCCATCTTTCCTGTGTGCTTTACAATTTCTAATCCTTGGGTATTTAAAATAGAAGTTTGCTTAACGTTTTAAATGACCCAGCTACATCATGGGATCCAATTATTTTGTTCAATATCTTTAAAACCCAAGCAAGTATCGCTCCCCAAATTTTTACTGCATCAGTTCAAACTGTAATTTGTTTATTGAACTCAGAACATGCTAGTTGACACCAAAAACCTTCAAAGAGAAAAAAATAGAATGTTACTTGTGACAGGAAGCTTCTAAAACAGGGATGATTTCAAAATCTAGCATGACAGTAATCAGGAAGTTTTTAGTGTGCAAGGTATTGAAAGGTATTAAAAACTGTACAAGGCAGAAATAATGAGACATACTAAGAAAAATCAACAAACAGGAAAAAAATACTTTTTTTTTTCCTTTTCCATCTGCTGTGAACTTTGATTTAATAGTCATTTTCTGTTGAAGTGAGTGAAAAACACTTGCAATATTAGATTGAGTCCTTTTTGAAGAAAATCTGAAGGCTCAAAGTAGAGCAAATTACAGTACGAGCTGTAATTCAGCAATTCTACAACAGTTTATTACTATTTCTACCCAATTCTGGGAACTGCTATTTCGACTATTTTTAGTCCTATTCATCTACATGAAGCATCACAAAGACCAGCACCATTTAAGAAGTAATAGGAGTGTTTGATTCAGTATATACAAGGTTTAGAAAAGCCTCATGTAACACAGTCTGAATGACGCCACCAAAAACGCAGATGTGAGACATCAGAATTCAGCTCTATGATGTTTTTAAATTGATCCGTCAATCAGTAACTGAGTCCAGAACACAAGCCTGAGATCCAGACTCTCATTAATGTTTATATCTGCCAAATTTTAAAAATTTCTCTAAAATTAAGCTAAGTAAACTATGAAAAAGAAATGTTAACAGTCTAAATCTTTTTAATTTCAGTCAGGTAAAAAAACTAGTTCGGTTTCAAGAACAATCCCTGTCCACTTCAATGGACACAGAATATTTTATCCTGTTTCTCTTCCCATTTCACTAACCATAGAAAAAGCTAAGGCAGGGAGAAAAGTGCAAATGAGTGTACCCAGACAACTTTGCTTTTTAACAAGTTTCCTTCACTTGCTTTAGAGAAAAAAGGTAATGTAACAGCTATGATGTATATTCTATACATATAACACAGAACTCGAAAACAGCTACTCCATTATTTCAATAAATCTAAAGGGGTTTCAGAGGTTAGCAGCTATAGAAGATTGTTTAATTATTTTATTCTAAAATATGCAGAGGCTTTTACCAATTGACAGTTTGTTAGACAGTAAAAAGCCAAATAAAAATTTAATAATCCCTATCCAGTTCCTGAAAGTGTCCCAACACATTACTGTAATATGCTTATTAAGGAGAGCAACATGTCCTTGTCTAGACTAAAAGCAAAAATTTGTGATACTTGGAATTGGTGGAAGTGACATAAAGAGAACTTCCCTTACTTACACTTTCAGCATAGCAGAAATAAAACAGGATATGTACTTACTGTGTAATTGAATTTTGTACACTCTTTTCATCTAGAGTCATTCCTGGAGGTGGATCATTTTGAAATGCCAATAGTTCTTTTTGTAATCGTTTCTATAAAGAAATTGTATAGAATAATTTCAATACTAAATGAAGTTCAACAACAAACATGCACACTAAAGTACATTTCCTCAATTATTAAAAGGTAAAAGGAGTCTTATTTGAAAATTTAAAAACAAAGTGAAACTGGAAGGTGAAAAAAAGGAAGACTCCTCTCCTGGAAATTTAACTGAAAAGTCACAGGCAAAAAAAGTCACAGGCTTTAAACTTACTTTTTGGTTAAAATGCAGTGGCATTTACATTTGCAACACTGCAACGTGAAGAGCTGTTTCATGACAAACTACATAGATGTATAAACTACTATCATGTTACAAAGGTGTCTGAGAGCTCTACACTCAGCAAAGAATATTTCACATTCCCACGACAGCACCAGAACTACAATAATTCTACAAGATTTTAACAGCACAACTCCTCCTTCTCTATGTAATTTAAGACACTTCTATCTGTGCAAGCCAGAGGACAGAACAGAAACTAAAACCAGACTACGTGAATTGCAGAACACAAACTATTTTATAACTGTACAGTAACTGCCTGTTAGAACCTACAGAGTCAGAGTACTTTGTAAAGAGTTATACTGGCGGCTCAGGTAATTCTTACTTATTTTGACAGGGATAAATCAATTAGTAACTGCAACCAGCTGGTTCTCTAACAACTACAAGCACTGTTTCTTACAATCCATGGAGCAAGGGAAACGCAACCTCTGTGAAGTGCTGTCATTGGCACTGCTTTCAGAGTGCATTTTCTCCATATAAACAGTTATGCAACACGATTTGTCATTTCCAAGCCATGTAGATGACAAAAAGTTCAAGGTCTCCTCATTTCCTACTTTCTTTTTTCCTAGCCATCATTTTAAGGTTTACAACCCACGAGTGAACTTCAACCACTCTAACAGTGAAAATAATCTTACACTGAAAAGGAATAAAAATACATGGTTTGAGAGTTTAGTATTTCATTCCCATTCAACATGCAATTTTTTTAAAAATATAGGTGTATCATGCATTTGTAGATATTTTCCAAACAACTTTTCCAGAATTTTAAAAAATCCAAAGGGGAAAATAAAGTGCTGATTGGTCAACACAGAAATGATGCAGTATCTTAACAATATTTTTGAAATTGGACTACAATAAATTCAGCCACACAATTCATAAAGAAAAAGGACCCCAGAGATTAACAATTCACATTCTGAAAATACTGAAATAATTTTCTATCTCTATCAAGCAGCCCTGAAAACTTGCTTTGTGCTTCTATTTTGAAAGTTCCTACTTTGAACATAGATACAATACAAACAAACTGAAAAACCAATGCTAGCATTTTCATAGGAAAGCTATATACATTGCTAACACTGAAAACCAGACTAGAACGCTAGTGTTCATCTTTTGCTTTCTGCATAGTTTAAGAAAATACTAACAGTGTTTTTAACACCACTATAAGAACTAAAATGCAAAGGAGCACGGTTACAAAACCATTTTACAAACCCTTAATTTGAATGGCATTCATTTTTAAGTCAGTTCTCTTTCTGGCACTTCCCTGGACCACCATCAAATAAACCTCAATGGCATTCAACCTGGGTATGCTTTGCCACAGAGAGAAATATTTTAAAAGTTCATACATGAGAATTTTATATGGTAAGGGAAATTCAAGCTCCCTTAAACAGGACACTTGGAAACATTAATTGAAAAATAGTAAGGAACAAATGTATATAAGAACAGCAAATAATTCAGTAGATCCATTCATTAGATCCATGAAGACTAACTATACAACTTCATCTTTATAAAAAGGAGCTTAAAATCCATTTGAGAATTGAATTAAAACCAGCCACATTGAGCTATCAGTATCTGATAGTAAATGGAAGAGAGGAAATTTTGTTTTTTCTGTATCCTACAAAAAAATCCAAATTATCAACACTTAAAATATCCCCTCATTTCAAGTCTGCAGCTTTGTCCCTTTTTCCAGCAACCTTCTTTTCAGTCAAATACAGTCTCAGTCATTCTTTCCATCTCAGCAGTGTGAAAATATTCTCTGACTGCTTCACAGCTTTTCAGTTCTCACACATTATATTTATGGTTCTTTCTAAAAAAACAGTAACACAAGGAAAAAATAATTATAACGTGTACTTGACCAGCGCAGTACCACTGAAGTGCTCTGTTCCTCGACCTTAAAACACTTGCTGACACTATCATGAAGATAGTTGGGGTTTTTTCCTCCACAACTGGAATTATAAAATATACTATTTTACAATGCTCTACTATTCCATTAACCATGCCATACAAGTTAATCAATTCTAATCTGATAAACTTAGCTGGGTATCTTTAATAGGTTTTCACCACATATTTTCAAAACTTGCTCTTTTATATCAAGCATCAACTCAATTATTTCTGTACAGACTAACAAAGACTAAAGATCTTTTCTAGAACATGAGAGTACTCTATAGCAACTGAAACAAAACTATAGAGGGCATCATGGCCTACTAACTAAAATTCATTCAAATAGTGAAAAAAATGTTTAAAGAGACAGGCTAACTAATATTTAGAAATCAATCTTTTAATCAACCTCTGTGGTCACTGCATTCCAGGGTTTCACTACCCTCATGGTATAATATGTTTCTTTTGTATCTTATTGGAATATCTCTTGTTCCAATTTGTATCTGTTGCCCTTTGTCTTCCCACTGTGACTGTTTTCCCTGACATTCCCCTATTATGTTGTTTCACACAACTGCAAGATCTCTCCTTTGCCTTCTCACAGCTGAAGACACCCCGTCAGTCTGTCTGTACATCAGGCAGTTCAGCCCCAATCTTACTGCCTGTCATCTGCTGGACTCACTCCAGTCCACCAGTGTCCTTCTTGGATCTTGTGCTGTGGCTCCCTACAGACAGCACTCCAGATGTGGTCTTAAGTTGCAAGGAGAGAGGAAAAAATAATTTTCCTCAAGCTGCTGGCTGCAGGCTAGCACATACAGCCCAGTCTGCAGCTAGAGAAATTCAGAAAACTTGGAATATGTTCTCCAAACATATCATGATTTTTTTCTTCCTCTTCCTTACAACTTATAATTTGTCTCCTCTGGTGTCTCATTAATAGAGAAACTAGATTATCAGGAGACAGATCTAGTTTAAAAGAAAATCTCCTAAATTAAGCCCTTAAAGGCTAGATTCATATAGTTTAATTAGGAAATTGAGCTCCTCTTTACCACAGTAATTCAGAAAACATTTGAAGTTTAAATGAAAAAAACTTGCAATTAATTCTTCTCCAGTGTTTAACAGTATTTGCACTAGCTGACCAAAAAGGTTACAAAAAAACAGATTTTCTCAGAGCAACACTAAGTAAACTCACATTCTTAGCTTCAAGATTCAATCATGAACTTTTAAAAAACGTGACTCTGGTATGTCAAGTCCATACACATCAGCTACAAATGCCATGCTGCAACTCAACATTTGAAAAGGAACAGCTTCAGTGGTGAAAAAGCCTTCCTTTACTTGAGAGCCACGGATAAAATTTTTTTTTCCCCCCACAAAAAGTTTAAAAATTAGCAGCAACATGCATAGCTGGACAAAGTAGAGTGGATTAACACTTTTCAGGTAATCTTAAATATCTCATTTGTAGAATCTTATAAACTTAGGACTTGAAGATACCTCAGAGAAGTCACCTCTCCATCTTCCTAACATAAGGATGGATCAAAGAATCTTAAAATATCATTGTAATTAAAAGCCTCTAATATTTTTCAAATCACTTTATCTCTTGCATTTATAATCGGAAGAATTTTCTTCACAGTAAGAGATCTAGGTGAGTAGAATAAAGAATAATATATAACCTGCTTATTTATACCATATTTTGCTTGTGTGCTTACTCAAAAGACACACTAACGTGAGTCGAAAATATTTGCACAGTTAGAATACAGCTATTGCTACTCTTTCACAACAGTTAAGAGCACAATAAGAGGAGAAAATCATGTTAGTTCCATGTGGTTCTTCTTCTGAAATCCATTTTGGCTGCTTGTCTTTGCTAACTGTCTATTACATGGTACATGTATCACAGACAATTTTGCCCAGTGATTTCCAGAAGTAACCCTTTCACACGATAGTATAAAAACAAAATAACATTTATCATCTGGAAACTCACTCAAAAGAACTGTCAAAAACCTCAGATTCAGTTGCTTAAACACTTGAAATAAAAGAAAAAAAAACACAACAAACACAAAAAAACCCTTTAAAAACCTTAACAAACAAACAAACCAAAAACAAAAACAAACAAATCCCACCACACACCCATGATTTCTTGTGACTGACATAATATCCAGTGTCTAAAAGGTATCGAATCCGTTCTTTGCGCTTGGCGTGATTAGTTGTCAGTTCAAGTATTTGTGTCATCCATTCTTTGCTTTCCTTTCTATTCATTCAAAGCTCATCCCTTTCTTCATCTTTCTAATGATTTATAAAACATATTAAATGTTTTTCAAGTATGTCAATTCAAAACAATAAAGCCTAAGTAGATTTCCCTCATGGTTGTCCCTTTCTTTCAAATTAAGCTTTAGCAGCTAATACTTAAGTTTCACTTTTCTGTTCTGTACAGAGTCTCTTCAAGTCACTGAATACAGGTTCTCATGTCACCATCGTGACTTTTACTATTATTCCTATCTTTTTTCCATATTGAGACAGCTTGCCACAGTAAATTAGTATTTTCTGCTAGAAACCTTCAGCCCTTCAACTCTCTTAATTATCAGGAGACTTTATTTACAAACGTCCAGCTATGTTGAGACAAGCATAGCTAAAGTCAACACCACAACCATTTTTGGGTTTTTCCTTAGCATGAATCAGGAATAGCACTTTTTTAATCACACACACAAGTTGCTTTTAGCCTCCCAGTCTGCTCCTTCAAGTCAAAATACAAGCTAGTGCAGCTATTCATTCCTAAAGTAGCCTCCAAAATTTATAATGTTTTCCATACATAGATATGCTCTTGGAAGCTGTGCTTGTTTTGCTGTCCTTTTCACATCACAAGAC